TTTTCAAAGCCAAACGTTATGGGGATTAGTCTTGCCCATGTGAGCTCCCTGGTGCAAGGACCCATTTCTCTGCCTTATCTGCATGTGCAGCTCCCTCCGTCCTGCAGGCAGCTTCCCTCTGTCTTTCTGGATTTCCTAACCTTTTAGATACAGTTTCTTCTCTATATTTAGGTTGTGGAGTTTGTTCTGCCAGTCTTTATATCCCTCTCTGGTTTATTTACTTGGATATGAATGACATCCAGTTGTAAAGGAGGGACAGGTTGAGCCAGGGTCCTCCTACTCACCATCTTCCCAAGCTCCTCCTACCCTTTTTCTGATAAGGGCCTCACTTCCTCTAAGGGAACCAGCCTCACCCACTTCTGGAAGGCCACAGGCCATGACCTTCCAGAGGGATAGACTTCATGTTCAGGAGTGGGCATGTGATTCAGAGTATCATATCTTCCCAACCATATTGCTCTGTCTGAAGACAATAAAATTAGGAACCATGAAATTTTTGCTGGCATCGTTGAAGGACATTCTCTTTTCTGCTGCTTGCTGAAAGTGTAGGATCCTACTTAATAACCAACTTATCACCACCAGCAAAAAGCCTCAATGAGAAATCAGAAGGAAGCAGAGGTACAACAATCTGAGAGATCACATCTTGATGTCAGAGTTTGGGCTCTTGGATCCAGCTATGCTTAAATCTTACTCTTCAGGATTTCAATTATGTAAACCATTAAATACCATTTTTAATTGTTCCAATTTGAGTTGGGGTTTCTGTCACTTGGAACTAGTAAAACCCCAAATAATAAATAGGATATCTCAAATTTTTCCACTGATAAAGCTCTATGGCAAAGAACAATAAATCAGTGGTAACCTGATAGTGTAGTCCAGAGAGGGTCAAAATATGCATTAGATGTCTTTAAAATCTCCTATCCTCTTAACATTTGAAGTGAATTTTACATTACTCTTCTTTGTGTTTCATATCAGTAAAAAAGAATGCCCTCCATCCTCAAACAAAAAGTGATACTTTGTAAAAATGTACCATTTTTTGCCTGTGGCTCTGTTTACCCCATTTTGAGGATTGCTCATGACCCTAAGAGAGCTAGAATTCATCGTAGGAATTGGATGGATGGGACTGAGATCAAGAGAATGTGCAGTTCATTGTGGAGAATGAACTTAGAGGCAAAAGGCCTGGATATGAATCCTGTTTATACACTTGCCAGATGACTTTTAAAAAGTTTCTGTTTCCACATTGAAAAATAGGCCTGCATGTTCCATCTCTCTAACACTCTGTAATTTTTAACGCTTCCTACTTCACCTGGCTATCGTAAGGACCAATCTAGTGGTAAGATAATGCCTATTCTCCTTAAGAAGATTTAGGAATCAATGACCCCTAGGAGTCAGCATAGACTAAGAACTCATCATCATAGTTTTCAAAACTGAAAGCTTGATTGTTTTTTAAAATGGAGTTACTAGTAACCATATTTTAACTCACTTTGGAAATTTAATGGAGAATCTTAAATATACTGTATCTTGATTTTTAGAAAGCATTTGACAAACTTTCTCATGGTATTTTTATGGATAAAATGATGAACACTAATATCACTGCAGTGCTTAGTAGAAGTACAGCTGATTGAATATACCTTGAAAGAATATTGATTACTGGCTCTGAAAAATGTTTACTTAATGTCATACCACCCACCAGTCTCTGTTCTTGGGCCTGTCAGGTACAATATTTTGCATTAATAAAATGAAGGAGGGCGCCTGGGTGGTTCAGTTGGTTAAGCAACTGCCTTCGGCTCAGGTCATGATCCTGGAGTCCCGGGATCGAGTCCCGCATTGGGCTCCCTGCTCAGCGAGGAGCCTGCTTCTCCCTCTGACCCTCCCCCCTCTCATGTACTCTCTCTCATTCTCGCTCTCTCAAATAAATAAATAAATCTTAAAAAAAAAAATGAAGGAAAATTACATATAATTGACCAACACAAACAACCAGAGATTGAAAATGATCCTGACATGCTAGAATATTTACAGAAATTTTAAAAAAATAATTCAAACAAATGTTAACTTTGACATTTAGCTTCAGGTGAGGAAATTCTGTTCAATAGATCTGAGTATATAGTTAATTACAAGTATAAAATTAGTTAGGAAAAAGTGTGGCTGCTTTCAGCTAACTTAGCTTGAGGTATTAACAGAAGTGCAATACCCAGAACTCAGGAAGTAATGTATCCCACACCCTTCAGCACTGATGAGATAATATCTAGTGTTTATATTCTGAAGAGATATGTAGTAGAAAAACTAGCCTATGTCCTGGAAAAAGTGACCAAATGGTGGGAGATCTGGAAATATGGAGGTTGAAAGGGGTTTGTTCTGGGCTGTGTAACTGATGAGGACAAGGACTGAGGGGGAAACATGGCTATCTTGTCCTTCCAGGTTGTTACGGAGCAGAGGCTACAGAATTGCTCCTCCTACTTCAGAGGGGAGGGCCAGGACCAAGAAGGAAAGGGGGCAGGTGAAGTGAGCTCTGGTTCAGGATGAGAAAGAACCAGAAACCACCAAACAGACTCCCAAAAGGCAAACCCTCTGTCACAGGCTGGACTTTGACAAAGACTGCATGCTCTTCATCTAGGATCTTAAAGAAGAGAGGTTTTACTCATCTGGTAAAACTAGATTAGAGAAATTGTGGTTCCTTCCAAACCTACATTTATGTAATTTATTATAAGTTATTAAGACAAGAAGTTAAATCATATAGACACCAGACCCTTACAACATACATATTTTCACAAATGTGAGGCAAGTCAGGAGGTGCCCATGGGTATCTTGTTGTCTCACTATTTACCTTTTGTAGCAATTGTTTTGCTTCAGTCACTACTGGCAACCAGACTGGAATTTCTGTCTGGTTTTACTCCATTTGTATAGCCGTGAGGAACATGAGCTCTGGAGACAGAATGGCTGTGATTGAATTTTGGTTTTACAGTGCAGGTTCGGGGTATGTTATTTGAAGTTTCAAGCCTCTTTTTCCAACCTGAAACCTGGAATAATTGACCGACTCATTGGGTAGCTGTGAGGATCAGATGAGACCGCTCGTGTAAAGCACTCAGTGCAGTGCCTGCCACAGAGCAAACCCTCAGTGAATGTTACCTGTGATGACTACCTTTGCAATGTCGCTCCTGGGTTTGACCTTCAAATTTACTCTATTTACTTTAGAGGCTGAATAACTCCATTTGTTTTGCTTATTGTCCTGCTTTGGGAACAGAATTTGAAAATATGAAATGGGCTTCTTAAACAGATGAAGGGCAGCAGTGCTGTGGTAGGAGCAGAGGCTGATCCCAGTCCTCCATTTAGACCAGTGCTGTGACTAGACAAACCACTTAGGCTCAACATCAATAAAATGAGAGGTTTATGTTTTTCCAGCTAAAATGTTTTATCCTAAATTGGGCCATGAATGGAAAAGAATAATAAGTCATGAGGATAGGCAGAAGGAATGGGAATACTGAAAAGCCTAAACATTGACTATTTAGAGTAGTCTGTGAACAAAGTACCTCCTTTACAAGCTTCACGGTACAATGAATGGTCCTTGTGAGCTCTATGAAAAAAAGACAATAATAACCATATATTCCGATTACTTCCAATGATAAATTACTAAAATTGCCCTAAATTTTAATAAGAGTATGTATACTTCATTCACCTGAGGTGAAGTTAAAGGTGACGTCTGTCAGACATTGCCACATTAATCACCTATAGCCTTCCTCATAGGCTGGTATGCTATGTTAAAGGGTCACAGCTAAATGGAATAGAAAATTACCTGCCATATAACCCCAGTGCATTGTTTATTTGATTTTCACTGGAATTCTGTAGATTAACTACAGAATCAGGAACAGATGGAATTAAAAGAGTCCTTTTATGGGGGCACCTGGGTGGCTCAGTCGTTAAGCATCTGCCTTCGGCTCAGGTCATGATCCCGGGGTCCTGGGATCGAGCCCCGCATTGGGCTCCCTGCTCCGCAGGAAGCCTGCTTCTCCCTCTCCCACTCCCCCTGCTTGTGATCCCTCTCTCACTGTCTCTCTCTGTCAAATAAATAAATAAAATCTTTTTAAAAAATTAATTAAAAAAAAATCCTTTTATGGCCTGATGGCCTCCTGAAGCTTTCCCCTAACCCAGAGCCACATGCTCTCTGTATCAATAGATAGGCCCAGCAATCAAGGGCATAAGTTTCACTACCTTCCACCCCCTCCTTCCTCTACTCTCTTCCCCCAATTTACCCAGCACCTCCAGTGTGAATGTTCTGTGCATACAAGGAATAAGATGCTCCTCAGTTGCAAGGAATTCAGGTCAACAGAAGAAATAGATACATAAATAGACAATTCTTATATAATGGATGAGTGCAATAGAGAAATGTGTCTGGAGCAGTGTAGTAGCATTAGGGGAGGGCTATCCTGTTCAAATGAGGAGCTGGGAAGGCAATTTAAATGATAGAGAAGATTCTGTCATTGGGGGATGATGGACACTGATTCATTAAAGTTAAATAGTCATTAGCCAGGTAAATACATGGAACAAGGAGGGGTGGAACGTGAACACAGGCATGGCAATAGGAAACAGCATAGTGACCACCAAGGGCATTGTAAGCAATTCCACGTTGCTGAACTATGAAGATCCATTTGTGCAATGCTAAGTAGCCTAAACTAGTGGTTCACAGTGGGGCCCATGGACCAGCAGTGTCAACATCACCTGGGAATTTGTTGGACATATAAATGCTCAGGTCCTATCCTGGACCTACTAAATCAGAAATTTTGGAGGTAGGATCCAGCAATTGATGTTTCCACAGTTGATTCTAATGTACACTACAGTTTGAAAAACACTGGCCTAGGTTTTATACTATAGTGGGAAGGGAAATTTTAAAGACTGTTAAGAAGAGTGCCATGGACTCTTTATGATATCAAATACACTTTCCCCTGCCTTTTGTGATTTTAGAGATTATTGCTCTAATGAAAGGCCACTCAAGAAGATGGACTTGCATTTGGGAAACAAAGTCAGTTACATTTTCTTACATATATTTAACTATAGAGCTGGATGGAATCAAGCTATTGGGAAGGTATGTGTCCTGAAAATCCTTATCATAGAGATAATATTTGATAGGCTACAAAAAATATGTGTGGCACATTTTGAGATATTACCAACTCATCAGTCAAAAATTACACTAAAACTTTTTGTTAAACTCATTCAGATACCATAAATATGTAAACTTTGAGAAAGTGGTCCATCCTAACCATAACCCTGTCATTTTCAAGCTTTACTTTTAGCAGTGGAATGTTTTTTGAAGAATCATTTATACAATCTTCCAAAATATAAATAAAAGTCAAGTCACTCTGGTTGAAGCTCAGGAAGGGAAGTGCTTTACTTGTCCCCTTTGGCAGTCTGAGACCCCTCCATGGGGCCCATTGTTTTAGAATCGTTGACCTATTTTATTTCTGGGAGACATGAAAAATCCCACTTCATTAATAAGGCTGATTGTAGCTGTATTAGTCAGAATTCTTGAGAGAAACAGAACCAATAGGATGTGTGTGTGTGAGTGTGTGGTGTATCCTAATTCACTAGCTCGTGTGTGTGTGTAATAAACACAGAGAGAGAGAATAGAAAAGAGGGTAGATTTAAGAAATTGACTTGTGTAATTATGGGGGGGCTAACAAGTCTACAGTTTGCAGGGCAGGCCAGCAGCCTGGAAATTCCAGCAGGAGTTGACATTGTAGGCTTGAGTCCAAAGGCAGTCTGGAGGCAGAACTTCCTTCTTCCTTCAGGGACCCAAGTCTTTTCTCTTAAGACCTTCAACTGATTATATGAGGCCCACCCATATTATGGAGGATAATATGCTTTACTCAATGTCTACTAATACACTTTAAAAAGACCTTCACAGTAATAGGTAGGTTGGTGTTTGACCAAACAACTGGGCCAAAGTCATAGCCTAGCCAATTTGACAAATAGCTAAAATAGATTGTGCTGATTTTTCTAGCTACTATAGTAATAAGAAAGGTTCTGAAGAGCCAGGTGATGAGAGACAAAAACCAAATATCTTAAAGTGTGGATGAGTTTAAAAACTGCTTCTTTGAAATGAATGATGTAACTAGAGGTCTAGCAAGGACCATATGCAGAAAGGCGGGGGGGTGGGGGGGAAGATGGTGGAGGAGTAGGGGACGCTACTCCAACCAGTCCCCATAATTGAGTTGGATATCTACCAGATCACACTGAACACCCACAAAATCAGCCTGAGATGTAAGACAGATCTGGATCTCTACAAACAGAATATCCCAGGCAATTGGTTTCAAGGTACAAAGTGGGGAGACATGATTCCACAGACAGATATTGGAGGATAAATGCCCGGGGGGGGAGACTGGCCGTGGGGATCCTACACCGCCGGTGAGCGATAGCCTCCCGTGCTAAGGATGGGGCACAGACTCACAGACCAGTAGCGGTGGGGAAAGGACTTTAGGGCAGCCCCCCAGATGGAAACCCGGAGCGGTGGAGCCCCTTGTGCAAACTGGGGGCAGCTGGCGGTTCTAGAAGCACAAAGGGCAGAGACATTCTCCGACCTGGAGGTGAGGACTGGGAGCGCTGTGGAGGGGAAAAGAACCCAGGACACTGCAGTTTATAGCAGCACAGACAGAAACAGAGTGTGGCCTGGAGAGCTCACTGAAGAACAGATGTGATCTCTTTGCTCTGAGGCAGAGGGCTGGAAATGATCTCTCCTGCTCTCTTGGAAGAGATGCGGAAAGCCACCAGAGAAAGCCACCAGAGAACAAAAGCCCCCAAAAACCGGTTTTCACTGAGCCCATCCCCACCACAGGGGGCAGGGCAACTCTGCCCAAACAGGGTTGCCTGAATAACAGTGCAGCAGACCCCTCCCTGAGAAGACAGGCTGGGAGAACAAGAGAACAGCAAGCCTAAGGTCCCTAGAAAACAGGTGCATCTTGCTTGGGTTGTGGTCAATAATTTGGACTCTATACATTCCCTCAACCACCCCTCAACCAGAATGATTAGGAGGAACCCCCAAAATAGGGGTTCCTAAATAGAAAGACTCAGAGACTGTAACCTCTGCCACAGATTTACAAATGGATTCAGATATAACCAAGATGTCGGAGATAGAATTCAGGGTAGCAATTGTGAAGATAGTAGTAGAATGGAGAGATTGATTAATGGCAACATAGAGTCTCTAAGAGCAGAAATGAAAGCTGAATTGGCAGAACTTAAAAATGCTATCAATGAGATCCAATCTAATCTAGATAATCTAACAGCTAGGGTAAGCGAGGCAGAAGAACGAATTAGTGACCTGGAAGACCATTTAATAGATAAAAAGGGAAAAGAGGAGGCCAGAGAAAACTCAAAATCCATGAAAATAGAATCAGAGAAATAAGTGACATCATGAAACATTCCAATGTCAGAATTATTGGAATCCAGGAGCGGGTGGAGAGAGAGACAGGACTAGAAGATATATTTGAGCAAATTGTAGCTGAGAACTTCCCTAATCTGGAGAATGAAACAAACATTCGTATCCTAGAGGCAGAGAGGACCCCTCCCAAGATCAAGGAAAACAGGCCAACGCCCTGGCATGTAATAGTAAAACTCGCAAATCTTAGAACCAAGGAAACCATCTTAAGGGCAGTTAGGGGGAAGAGATTCCTTACGTACAGAGGGAGGAACATCAGAATAACGTCAGACCTATCCACAGACACCTGGAAGACAGAAAGGCCTGGCAAGTCATATTCAGGGTACTAAAGGAGAAGAACATGCAGCCAAGAATACTTTATCTGGCAAGGCTGTCATTTAGAATGGATGGAGAGGTGAAGAGCTTCCAAGACCGGCAGAAACTGAAAGAATATGTGACCATTAAGCCGGCCCTGCACGAAATATTAAGGGGGGGTTCTATAAAAGGAGAAAGACCCCAAGAGTGATATACAACAGAAATTTACAGGGACAATCTGTAAAAACAAGGTCTTCACAAGCAATATGATGACAATGAATTCATATCTTTCAATAATCACTCTCAACGTGAATGGCCTAAATGCTCCCATAAAACGGCACAGGGTTGCAGTTTGGATAAAAAGACAGGACCCACCCATAGGCTGTCTACAAGAGACTCATTTTGAACCTAAAGATACATCCAGGCTGAAAGTGAAGGGATGGACATCCATCTTCCATGCCAGCGGACCTCAAAAGAAAGCTGGGGTAGCAATTCTTATATCAGACAAATTAGATTTTAAACTAAAGACTGTAGTTAGAGACACAGAAGGACACTATATCATTCTTAAAGGGTCTATCCAACAAGAAGATCTAACAATTGTAAATACCTATGTCCCAAACATGGGAGCAGCCATCTACATAAGCCAACTGTTAACCAAAATAAAGAGTCATATTGATAACAATACGTTAATTGTAGGAGACCTCAACACTCCACTCACAGCAATAGACAGATCGTCTAAGCAGAAAATCAACAAAGAAACAAGAGCTTTGAATGACACACTGGACCAGATGGACCTCGTAGATATATACAGAACATTCCACCCTAAAACAACAGAATACTCATTCTTGTCGAGTGCACATGGAACTTTCTCCAGAATAGACCATATACTCGGTCACAAATTAGGTCTCAACCGATACCAAAAATTGAGATTATTCCCTGCATATTCTTAGACCATAATGCTTTAAAACTGGAACTCAATCACAAGAAAAAATTTGGCAGAAATTCAAACACTTGGAAGCTAAAGACCACTCTGCTCAAGAATGTTTGGTTCAACCAGAAATCAAAGAAGAACTTAAAACAATTCATGGAAACCAGTGAGAATGAGAACACATCGGTCCAAAACCTATGGGATACTGCAAAGGCGGTCCTAAGGGGGAGATACATAGCCATCCAAGCCTCACTCAAAAAAATAGAAAAATCCCAAATTCACCAACTAACTTTACACCTTAAAGAATTAGAGAAAAAGCAACAAACAATGCCTAAGCCACATATTAGAAGATAAATAATTAAGATTAGAGCACTAGATCAATGAATTAGAAACCAGAAATACAGTAGATCAGATCAACGAAACTAGAAGCTGGTTCTTTGAAAGAATTAATAAGATCAATAAACCACTGACCAGACTTATCAAAAGAAAAGAGAAAGGACCCATATTAATAAAATTATGAATGAAAGGGGAGAGATCATGACTAACACCAAGGAAATAGAAACAATTACTAGAAACTATTATCAACAACTATATGCCAATAAACTGAGCAACCTGGATGAAAAGGATGCCTTCCTGGGAACCTATAAACCCCCAAGACTGAAACAGGAAGAAATTGACAATGTGAATAGGCCAATAACCAGTAATGAGATTGAAGCAGTGATCAAAAACCTCCCAAAAAACAAGAGTCCAGGGCCTGATGGATTCCCTAGGGAATCAATTTACCAAACTTTCAAAGAAGAAATAATACCTATACTCCTGAAGCTGTTTCAAAAAATAGAAACAGAAGGAAAGCTTCCAGACTCATTCTATGAGGCCAGCATTACCTTAATCCCCAAACCAGCCAAAGACCCCATCAAAAAGGAGAATTTCAGACCGATATCCCTGATGAATATGGATTCCAAAATCCTCAACAAAATCCTAGCTAATAGGATCCAACAATACATTAAAAGGATCATCCACCATGACCAAGTGGGATTTATCCCAGGGATGCAAGGGTCGTTCAACATTTGCAAATCAGTCAATGTGATAGAACACATTAATAAGAGGAGAGAGAAGAACCATATGGTTCTCTCAATTGATTCAGAAAAAACATTTGACAAAACCCAGCATCCTTTCCTGATTAAAACTCTTCAGAGTATAGAGGTAGAGGGAACATTCCTCAAGTTCATAAAATCCATCTATGAAAAACCCACAGCAAATATCATCCTCAATGGGGAAAAGCTGAGAGCCTTTCCCTTAAGATCAGGAACACGTCAAGGGTGCCCACTCTCACCACTGTTGTTCAACATAGTACTAGAAGTCCTAGCAACAGCAATCAGACAACAAAAAGAAATAAAAGTATTCAAATTGGCAAAGAAGTCGTCAAACTATCTCTTTTCGCAGATGACATGATACTTTATGTGGAAAATCCAAACGACTCCACCCCCAAATTACTAGAACTCATAACAGCAATTCAGTAATGTGGCAGGATACAAAATTAATGCACAGAAATCAGTTGCTTTCTTATACACTAACAACACAAGTGTAGAAAGAGAAATTAGAGAAACGATTCTATTTACAATAGCACCAAAAACCATAAGATACCTTGGAATAAACCTAACCAAAGAGGTAAAGGATCTATACTGTAGGAACTACACAACACTCATGAAAGAAATTGAAGAAGACACAAAAAGATGCAAAAACATTCCATGCTCATGGATCGGAAGAATAAACATTGTTAAAATGTCTATGCTACCCAGAGCAATCTATACCTTCAGTGCCATCCTGATCAAAATTCCAATGACATTTTTCAAAGTGCTGGAACAAACAATCCTAAAATTTGTATGGAATCAGAAAAGACCCTGAATCACCAAGGAAATGTTGAAAAAGAAAAACAAAGCTGGGGGCATCACGTTGCTGGATTTCAAGCTATATTACAAATCAGCGATCACCAAGACAGCATGGTACTGGCACAAAAACAGACATATAGACCAATGGAACAGAATAGAGAGCCCAGATATGGACCCTCAACTCCATGGTCAAATAAACTTCGACAAAGCAGGAAAAAATATGCAATGGAAAAAAGACAGTCTCTTCAATGAATGGTGCTAGGAAAACTGGATAGTCACGTGCAGAAGAATGAAACTGGACCATTCTCTAACCCCATACACAAAGATAAACTCCAAATGGATGAAAGACCTCAATGTGAGACAGGAATCCATCAAAATCCTAGAGGAGAACATAGGCAGTAACCTCTTTGACATGGGCCACAGCAACTTCTTTCAAGATACATCTCCAAAAGCTAGTGAAACAAAAGCAAAAATGAACTTTTGGGACTTCATAAAGATAAAAAGCTTCTGCACAGCAAAGGAAATAGTCAACAAAACAAAGAGGCAACCCACAGATTGGGAGAAGATATTTGCAAATGACACTATAGATAAAGAGCTGGTATCCAAGATCTATGAAGAACTTCTCAAACTCCACACCCAAAAAACAAATAATGAAGTCAAAAAGTGGGCAGAAGAGATGAACAGACACTTCTCTGAAGAAGACCTACAAATGGCTAACAGACACATGAAAAAATGTTCATCATCATTAGCCATCAGGGAAATTCAGATCAAAACCACATTGAGATACCACCTTACACAAGTTAGAGCGGCAAAAGTTGACAGGGCAAGAAACAACAAATGTTGGAGAGGTTGTGGAGAAAGGGGAACCCTCTTCCACTGTTGGTGGGAATGTAAGTTGGTACAGCCACTTTGGAAAACAGTGTGGAGGTTCCTCAAAAATTTAAAAATAGAGCTACCCTATGACCCAGCAATTGCACTCCTGGGTATTTACCCCAAAGACATAGATGTAGTGAAAAGAAGGGCCATATGCACCCCAATGTTTATAGCAGCAGTGTCCGCAATAGCCAAACTGTGGAAAGAGCCAAGATGCCCTTCAACAGATGAATGGATAAAGAAGATGTGGTCCATATATACAATGGAATATTACTCAGCCATCAGAAAGGATGAATACCCAACTTTTACATCAACATGGATGGGACTGGAGGAGATTATGCTAAGTGAAATAAGTCCAGCAGAGAAAGTCAATTATATGGTTTCACTTATTTGTAGAACATAAGGAATAGCATGGAGGACATTAGGAGAAGGAAGGGAAAAATGAAGGGAGGGAAATCGGAGGGAGAGATGAACCATGAGAGACTATGAACTCTGAGAAATAAACTGAGGGTTTTAGAGGGGAAGGGATTGGGGGGATGGGTTAGCCTGGTGATGGGTATTAAGGAGGGCACATACTGTATGGAGCAGTGGGTGTTATACGAAAACAATGAATCATGGAACACTACATCAAAAACTAATGATGTACTGTATGGTGACTAACAACATAAAGAAAGAAAGGAAGGAAGAAAGGAAGGAAAGAAAGAAAGAGGAAACCTGGCCTAATTTTGATGAATTTGTCTTATTTCAAAAACAAATTATACAGAAAAAATTAGTCACCAAAACTGCCAAAAACTAAAACCTTACTTAAGATCTATTAGCATTTGAGGCTGACACAGCAGCAGATTGGAGCTTCATGCATAACTCTGACCTATTTCCTAACAACTGGTTTTTGTTACCAGGGATGTCAGTGAAGGAAATGAAATTCTTGCCTGTTGAAAGCTGAGCTCATGCTTCTTCCCCAAAGGAATATTAGCTCTTCAATCTAAAAGAAAGTAGTCCAGAAATGAGTGGTTGAATGATAATACAGGCCATTCATGCATTTAATCACTTAACAAGTTTTAGGACTGTAAACTCTTGCACAGCACAAGTCTCAAAACAGGCCTTCCCTCGAAACCCACTGCCAGGCTGGACTGTGTGAGTTACTATGCTGGTACCACCCTCCTCAGTTTGGCCACAGCCCTTGGTTTGTGGCAGCCATTTTGTATGCCAACAGCCTTTGAGGTAATCTGGCATGAAAAAAAAAGTACCCCCACAGGGAAGATGGTGACTAAATGAACAAACCTAATTCTCCCTTTGAGAAAGGTTTGAGTCCTAAAAAGAAATTCAATCAAAAGTAGCTGGTGAGGGGAGCAAAGACTAAAAAACACACAGAGAAGCCAGGGGATCAGAGCACAGAGATGACCAAGGCACAGAACATGACTTCATAATCTAGTAGAGGGGCCTGACAAGAAAAGGAGAATTATAATACAATATGATAAATGTTGCAACAGCAAGACGCATAGAAGACTATGGGAACACATTGAAAGGATACTTGGAAGGTGACTAAGAATGGCTTTTTGGAGGAGACAATACGAATAGCTGAGGAGTGATAATGGCAAAGTGTTATCAAGGGCTCCATAAAGTTCTGCTATTGAGGGGGTGACTGATGGCTCCCTAAAGCTAGAATTGGATCTTGAGAAGTAGAAATCTTCTAGTTCTCAAATTACCTCGTGATTGTCATGTAGCCCATATAGTCTGTGGTGCTTTTTACATGACTTCCACTTCTGTTGCTGATACTTGGTTCCCATGTGGCACCTAGACATCTATTTCCTTACTCTTTTTCCATGTGTATTTAGAGTGAGACCTCTGACAATCAGGAGAGTTGATGTTACTTGTAACGTGAAAGCCAAACATGCCACTTTGGTTAATTATTTGTTATATAAAGAAGCTTTGCAAATCAAGACCAAAACAACCTAAAAGCCAAAATTTTGGTTCACAGTAAGTCATAGTATCCTTAAAATTCAAATTTCTAAAATGAAAAAAGAAAAGACTTATTCCATCTAATTTTTTTTGTTTAACCCCTGAAGGATTTTACTTAACACAAATTGTGACTGATGTGTAGTAGACAAACTAAGGGGGAATTTATACTGTCCTCCTTTCGAGTTAGGGATTGGAAATGATGAGTCAAAAATCAGAAGTTGCTGTACCTCAAACCATCTTCAAATGTCAATTAAATTTTCCACAGAGCACTGAATCAAAATGAAAATGAAACACATACATACATACATGCATACATTATGAAAACCAACCCTCCTCTTAACCGGTGTTTCATTTGGTTCAATTTCTCCTTCCTTTTGGGTTTCCTTAGTTGTCAGCCTGCTACAGGATATGAAAGCAACACAACATGGATAACCACTGAAGAATGGAGAGAAATTTATTCCCTTTACAGATTAGTTGAGCCATTAATTACAATGATTGTACCAACAATGGTGTTAGTTGTTCTATCAATTGTGTAAAATTATTTGTGAATGATATCTTGCAAGAGATAAATTGAGTTAAAAATTTGAGCATCCTAATAATTAGAAGGGGTGAAATTTCAGTTTACTGTATAGAGTGTACCATACCTAATGGAAATGTATGCAAATTTACCTTGTGTTAACTTGAAAAAGCTGAATTTCAATTATCAATAAAGTTCTGTTTTCAGCACAAAATTAGGAATAATGTAAATCAATTTTTTTAACTTTGAAGAATTCTGATTTTAAGTTGGAGGAAGGATGAATGAATTACCAACTGTTTTATGTTAGTGGCATATGACTTGACCACTTCAGCTTGTAAATATCTTTGTCGGTCCTGTGAGAGCAATTCAATGTGAAATATGCAAATTTTGAGTTTTGCAAGGTCTTTAGGATACATCATTTTCATAAAATGAAACTATGATCTACTTTCTCTGCTTTGATCATATGCCTGTACCATTCATGTGATAAAATTTCTGCAGTTTATTGACTGGCATCTGGGTCTTAAGAGGTGGAAAAGTCATGATAAGTTTATGTTTCAGGCTATTAAGTTGTGATGGTTAATTTTATGTGTCAACTTGACTGGGCTAAGGGATGCCCAGATAGCTGGTAAAAAACTATTTCTGGAAATGTCTGTGACGGTTTTTCCAGAAGAGATTAGCATCTGAATTGCTGAACTGAGTAAAGCAGATGACCCTCCCCAATGTGGGTGGGCATGATCCAATCTGTGGAGGGCCTGAATAGAACAAAAAGGTCCTTGAACTGAGACATCCATCTTCTCCTGACCTCAGGCATTGGTGCTCCTGGTTCTCTGACTTTTGGACTCCGACTGGGACTCACATTTTAGGCCCCTGTTCTCAGACCTTCAGACTTGAACAGCTGTCCTGGTTCTCCAGACTGCAGATCAAGGGATTTCTTGGCCTCCATAACCATGTGAGTCCATTTTTATTGGTTCTATTTCTCTGGAGAACCCTAATACATAAGTGATATTCAGAAAGTCTGAAATATTTAGGTCATTGGATACAGTCATCTGGTAAGTTTTTAGTCTAATAGGTTTTTTTGTTTGTTTGTTTGTTTTTGCCTTTTTTGGGTTATGAAACCCTTTGAAAGTCTATAACTCTAACCACCAGAAAAATGCATATATGCATATGTACACTCCATTCTGCCTACATATATCATGGACCCCAAATAAAGAAGCCCTCTTTAGATAGACAATATTTATGGAAAGGAGGTCTGTTTAAGCAAGTATATGCCCTCTACCACAACCACCACTACCAGGAATTCAGCAGTCATTCTGTAGTATGCCATACACATATGTAGGTAGATTATGGTTCTGGGTTCAGATTACTGTTTTAATTACTCTTCCTTCAACACTCTTAAATGTTCTGGAATTTCTCTTTGTATTCAGAATCAAAGAATTTGAGAACATTAAACCAAAGATGAAACTAGGTTCCCAATGTTATAAATAATTGTAAAAATTCTTTTTGGTAACAATTAGAGAGCAGTAATGACAAAACAAAAGTTAAACCACAAAAACAGAACAAACCATGTTCATGTGTTAAATTTCATACAATAAAAGTAAAATACAAGGGTATTTTTTTCTCTTAAAATAGTTTAAGTCAATTTGTACCAATTATACACACACACACACACAGATTGACATAAATAGGCTTATAGAGCCAAGGTCTGAAATTACATCAACATACATAGAATTTATGTTAATATATATATTTTTTATTGTTTATTGAGACTATGCTTTTCTCTAAAAGATAGCAAGATTTGAAAATCCAAAAATATAACACAAGGATTTGTGGGGGAGTTTTTATTTAGAAAGCAATTCTTAAATAAGTCAATCAGAGAAACACAGTTATCATATGATCTCACTGATATGAAGAATTTGAGAAACAAGGCAGAGGATCATAGGGGAAGGGAGGGAAAAATGAAACAAGATGAAATCACAGAGGGAGACAAACCATAAAAGACTTAATCTCAGGAAACAAACTGAGGGTTGCTGGAGTGGTGGGGGGGTGGGAGGGATGGGGCGGCTGGGTGATGGACACTGGGGAGGGTATGTGCTATGGTGAGCATTGTAAATTGTGTAAGACTGTTGAATCATAGACCTGTACCCCTGAAACAAATAATACATTATGTTAATAAAAATAGAAAAAAGAAAGCAATTTTTAATTGTCTAAACAAAAGTAAGGGACAAAATGGTTTCTTTTTTTTTTTTTAAAGATTTTATTTATTTATTAGAGAGAGACAGCGAGAGAGAGGGAACACAAGCAGGGGGAGTGGGAGAGGGAGAAGCAGGCTTCCTGCGGAGCAGGGAGCCCGATGTGGGACTCAATCCCAGGACCCTGGGATCGTGACCTGAGCTGAAGGCAGACGCTTAATGACTGAGCCACCCAGGTGCCCAAAATGGTTTCATTAACTAAAAGTTTTGTCTGTTCAACTGCCTGTCATACAGATATACAAACGGGCATTTACCCATAGGATTATTCATTTAGAAAATAAAAAATGTGAGTTGAAATATATTCTCAAAGGAAAAGAAGGCTCTGTTTTAAAGACACTTGAGAGCCATAAAAATTATTTTCTCTGGCCTTTAGACGACAAGCTAAAGGCCATTCCCAAGGGGAACAATAGCAGTGGACAGATCTGAACTCTCAGATTCCCTGTTGTGTTAGTGGGGATGGAAAGCCTCCATTTGTGAAGTTAAGATTAGAGCAAGTGTTAACAAAATAAAGTCAGCTACACATTGAAAAAAAAAATCTGATACCAGTCCATTAAGGGAACAAGGGAATTACTAGAAATAACTCTGAAATTCTTTCCCACCAATACTGAATTTAATTACAGACAGGCATTGTCAAGAGTCTATGAGAAGGAAGAGTAAAACAAGGAAAACAAAGAAATTACTGCATGGTAAGTATTGTTTTATGGGTTTCATTATGAACAAATGTATTTTATACATGTTATGTTCTCAATGTTAGACACATCTTATATGTTTATAAAAATTGCATTTGAGGTTATTTCTAGAGGCTTAGTAAAGAATAAACTATAGTTTATCAGGTTTGCATTTACTTTTTTTTAAATCTTTTTTTTAAGATTTTATTTATTTCAGAGAGAGAGAGAGGAGAGAGAGGAGAGAGAGAGAGCATGCAAGCATGAGCAGGGGGAGGGGCAGAGGGAGAATCAGACTCCCTGCTGAGCAGGGAGCCTGTCGCAGGGCTCAATCCCAGGACCCCAGGATCATGACCTGAGCCAAAGGTGCTTGCAGTATACTACTTAAGATGGCATTATCCAAAACAAAAATTCTCAACAGGGGATATGTAGCAGCATAAATTATCTAAGATGTATCCTCCATCAACTCTGTTTTTTTTTTTTTAATACTGCCTAAGGATTTTTTTTATTGACTTCTGAATAAGAATTTGGAAGGTTCCAATGTGAAATGTCCAAGAAGAAATTTCATGATCATAGCTCAGTGGTGTTCTTCGGTGATAAACATGGTAAAGCAATGTTACATTCCATCAACCTCACAGAATGCATTACCTAGGCCTTCCTTCAGTCTCCTAGAGCTTACTTTCTTTCTTTTGTGGGTTCTTCTTTATGCTGCCATGTATTACGGTCCTAGCTTGATAGAAAACTTGAATTTACAGTTTCACATTCCTTTCTCCCACGTATTCACCAAACATCTTAGGCAACATCCTTCTTGGAGCCTTCGTTTCATTACTTGTAATACTAAATGAAAATACCTATCACTCAGATCTTCCTTCCTAGGGCTTGAGTATAACTCCTTTTCTAAAATATGCAGTATCTTTTCCCTATATACCTGGGAATTTACTTCAGTTTGATGGCAACTCTCTTTTCTCTTAGTTATGTTCTCAGTGTTAGACACAATATCTTATATGTTTATAAAAATTGCATTTGAGAGGATTTCTGTGGGCCCAGGAGAAAACAATCATATAGTTTGCGGGTTTTGCATTTACTTTTTTTTTTTTTAAGAAAGGCAAATTATTTTAGAAAAGCAGTTATTTGTCTTCAACTTTCCAACTTATGGATTTTTTTCCACCTTGGCTTCTGAAAAGATACAAAGAGCAATCCTACCATTTCCTTTGTCTCCTTTAACCACATTTCTTGTTTTTCATGGATAGAAACAGTTTACACTCATATCCATACTAACAACATGACCTATCCTCTTTCCCCATCATCAGTGATCTATGGGAAATACCTTTGACTTACAGTCAGCATCTCTAGTTTGAGTTCTGGTTTTATCCCTTAAGAGGTCTTGGAAAATCCCCTTAATCAGGGTTGCCGGTTGGGTTTACTATCCACACCATCTGGGCAGTCTTTTGACTTTTAAAGTGGCATCTTGGAGACTTAGTGGAGAGAGTGAAGCACAGGAATCTATTTTATGAAATGCTGTCCTAGATGATGCAAATGAAGACTTAATTTTTGGGATCTAGTGGCCAAAATCTCTGAATTACTTCCTTAGCCTGCAAAATGCCAGGTCTCATTTATAGTGATATCATGAAGGTTAAACAAGACAATGTATGGGAAGAGCATTATAAATTGGAAAACTGAATATAATTCAAGGTATTATGAGTCAATATTCTTGTGGAATTTGGAGTAGAATAAGTTCATTGTCAATCATTCCTGCAGCCACATACACAGAGGATGAGAAACAAACATTATTAATACTAATGACCTGAAATGCTTGTAGTATAAAATCTGAGGGTATACCAGAACACAATTTTAAAAACACATAAAGGCATTTTAGACCAATAGACAAAATGTTTTTACTGTACTTTAAAATAAAAAACATCTGTAAATAAATTCCCTCCTTTCTGACTTCCTGAATTACATTGACTTCATTGTGGGAATTTGCTTCTCAAAGTCCCAGTGTTGGGGTGTCTGGGGGGCTCAGTGGGTTGAGTCTCAACTCTTGGTTTTAGCTCAGGTCATGATTTCAGGGTCCTGGAATCAAGCTCCAAGTCAGGCTCCCCACTCAGCACAGAGTCTGCTTGAGATTCTCTCTCTCCCTCTGCCTTTCCCCTGGCGAGTGTGCTCTCTCTCTCTCTCTAGCATCCTCTCTCTCAAATAAATAAATCTTTTTTTGAAAAGACAAAAACAAAGTCCTGGTATTGTAGGAAACCAGAGAAACATTGGAACACTTTGAAGCCAAACTAAAGAAAGACAATTGATGTGCAAATATTGGTCTCTATTCTTCCCATACCTAACTTGTTTCCTGGAACTATAATAATTGAGATGCTAAGGGAGGTTTACTAACTCAGTCCCCATTTTGTGCATTTTACATTGCAAGGAAATAAATGGTACTCTAATAGCTTGGAAAAAACACTGCAGGAAATGACTTCAGCTTTGGAGAGTTTCTAATTCATTATAATTTCCACAATAAAACATTCATCTACAACTTTTAAGTCCCCAGAGGGTTTAATCTACTTAAGCTGATGCAAGCAGACAGGCTGGTATAAAGGGACTATTACTCTAAAATAATTGTAATTATCATTTTGGGAAGACCATGGGCTTTACATTCAATCTATCATAGGTGTTTAATTTTCCTCTTTCAAGAAAATAGAAACATTTGAGGTTCATTTTTTCACTCTTGGCGGGGGACCATCTAATAAGCTTGTAAGCTAAATTCATAATCTACAATCCAGACTTCAAGCTCATTAATTCAGTATTTTACAATATCTGGCTCCTGTTCCTCTCTGGTCCCCTAGACTTCCTTTCTCCAAATACCCTTCATTTTGTATGGAACTCCTCTTGTTGTTTCTGCATGTATTGGTTATATGAAGAAGTGGCAGGTGCAGAAATGATCTGGTGTGTGCAGAAACAATTCCATGAGCACACTGTCATCACCCATCCTCTCCCTGGAAAATCCTTTAGCAAATTCTACTCATACTTCAAAATTCAGCTCAAGGATCCTCTCTCCTAGAAAGTTTTCTGGCCCCTAGCCTGATTTAGCTGCCCCTACTCTGGGATTCCCTACCATCCTCGGCACCCCTCTGCCCTAGCACCCAAAATAACAGGTAAAAATGATTTCCACATCTCTCCCACACCATAACTGCTAAGGTCCAAGTAGTGGACTGTGCCTAATTTGACTCTGTATCCATAGCACTTACCTCAGGGTCTGGTACCTAGTGAGTACCACAGATGTTTGTCAGTTGAAGGAAGGTTCTGTAATGAATAAGTGATGTGATCTGAAGATGTGTTACATGAAACTTCAGAAAATCAATTTTGCCACTTGCAGGTATTGCAATTAGTGCACATTTTCTAATTGTTTGGTATGGCTAGTTTTTTTTTTTTTTTTTTTCCAGGTAAGTGAAGGTGAGCTCCATCTAGCTGGTAAACAAGTAGGCAATATAGAGAATCACCTTGGATGATATTCCTTGTTCTTTAGTCATTCAAATCATTCTTATGTGTAAAGCAAACATAAGCCAAGTTCCTCAGCCTATAAAAAAAGGACGTGTGGAGACCATTCCCCTTTGGAATGCAAAATTCCAAGAAGGAGTGAACTTATTTGCATAAGGATCCCTGGACTTAGAAAGACCTTCCCAGTGGGCCAGACTGTCCATGAACAATACTCAGGGACAGGGAAGGAAGGGTACCCAAAATAAACCTTGAGGGTAGAAAAGTACTAGAATTGGTAGCTGAATTTGGAACTGAGCTGATAGAGAAGAACAACAAGGATCCTGGGTCAACAGATGGCAGATGATAGAACTTCATCAACCCAGCCAAGGGCATATTTGGACCCTGGCAAGTAGGTTCAATGTATGAACCAAAGGAGATCGTCATTAAAAGCTATAACAATTGGGTGTACCCAGTATTCTCTTGGCATGGAGTTTCTGAATGGTGAGTTTATGGGTCATCTTTACTGCTATGATGGGCATGTCTTCATAACAGCACCAACAAGAACAAAGCAGGATAGTCATAGCCCACCTCCTTATCTCCCACTGTCTCTCATGTCCCAGAGGCTATGGATTGGTTATACCATTTTTCATTGCTGTTTCCCACTGTACAGATTGAAAAACCAAGTATAAGACTTGCTTCCCAGCTCTTCTGCAGGTAGGAATTGTTGTGTGGCCCACTCATGACAAACAAGCGAAGTCTCCTAGGGAACTTCTTATTAAGCCTTTGTTTTCCATATAACGTAGAGAAAGACCTGTCTGGCACCACTCTCCCTCCTTTTTTCCTGCCTCGAATACAATGCTAGATGCTTGATCTCCAGCAAGCATCTCGCAGTCAAGAGCAAACAAGCCATTACATTATGGATGGCAAAGCAGAAAGAACTAGAGCAATTGACACTATCATGGAGTTTCTATATCTGCAGACTTCTGGTCACTTAAGTAAAATAAAATCCTATGTGTTTCAGCTATTGTTAGATTACCTGTTACGTGCAGTTAAAACATTCTCAGCTGATAACATTCACACCCACAGTCATACTCATCAAGCACTACTAACCACAAGTGATACCTAGATGCCTGGGGGACTTAGTCTTTAGCAGGACATCTGATGGAGTGCTACTCCATACAGAATAGTGCTCTCCAGTATTGCATTTTGGGATGCCAGGGAGATGGTCTTTTCAGCCAAGCAAAGGACAATGTAGATATAAGTGTGTTAATTTTTAAAGTTCAGGTTTGAAGAGCAAACCCCAAATACCAAAAAGTGAAAGAAGAAGTAAGCAGAATAAAAAATGTGTGCTGATTAGGCATCTCCAACCCTAAGAATAAGAAGTGAAACTTTTAGAAGGTCAAATACAAATCAAATTGTTAATAGTGGTTACCACTAGACTCTGTAGGTGAAGTTAGAAGGAAGTGAGGCAGCTATTGCATTTTTTAAATATGTTTTTGTATATTTCTGTATTTGAATTTTTGCTACAAAAATGTATTACTTTGCTAATAGAA